CAATTTTATTGGCAGTCCTCTTTTTTTTGTAAGTATACTCACCCATAAAACAAACAAACTAATAAATTTAGTAGCCCGTTTTTACAGATAAGTATATCTTTAATTTATTTTTTTATTTTTATGTCTAATTATTTTATTGTATTTTGCTAATAAAATTGTAATAACTTTTTAAATATTATTCCTTAATGTATTATCCTTTATACAATTCGATATATATATTACAATTATAATAATTATTTACAATACAATATACAATTATCAATGCTGTTCAAAATATAATAAAAATGATAACATAGGAGCATAATTAACAAATTTTCGCAAATTTTAACAAATACGGGATTATACGAAAACGTCGAAAATACATACGGCGATAACATAAATTTTTCTAAACTAATGTTTAATAAAATATTGATAAACGCAAAAGAAATACTAACAACAAGAGATTAGATTGTATTTACTATTAATTATTTATTATTAATTAAGTATTTACTATTAATTTGCGAATATAAAACTTAATAATATCACGATAAAAAGTCATTAATATATTTATAACAGCACTTTCATCGCGTTCAAGATAACTATTTCAATAATTTCATCATATCAAAATCCCTCCGCCTCGTGGTATGCTGATTAGTATCCGATACAAAGAAGAACAATCTTCATAGCGGAAAGCAAACTTAATTTCTGATTCTACATAAATTTCACAAGATCCATTTGCAAAGAAAAATTAAGCAATCTGTCAAATACCAATGATCTTGTTATAGGACTGCGGTGTGAATCCCGAATCTTTCAGACTACTTAGCGATAGTAATAATTTTGGTAACATGTCAATTACAATTACCATTTTTATCACATCTTTAATATAACATTAAAATTCGCGAGAAAATATGTTCTGCCACACGTGACTAAAAATCATCTTTTATTAAAAATAAACGAATAGAATGATTTCCATATGCAATAGTGGTTACGAAAGAATATATTTAATAATAATAAAATACATGCGTTATTGTAATTTTTTATATGTATAGATACAAAAGTTTCTCGGATACCAACTGTTCGAGATAAGCCGAACCCGATAATAACGGGATTTTAAAGAACATTTGCATTAAAAAATTTATTATAAAAAATTTAACAATTCTTTATTTTTCAAAAATTACAATGATTAATCCCGCTAGTAAGAGAGTATTCATCCGACTTATCTTGAATTTTTTGTACCTATACATTTAAAATTCAACTTATGTAATCACAATAACATTGTTAACTATAAAAAATTTTTAAAAAAGTTAGGTAAATATCAAAAATCAATATTCGTTAAATATAACCTCGTAATATCTGCACGTATTTTATCACAGTAAAGTGTATATACATATAAATTAACAATTAAAAATATTCTGCAATGGTGGGATGTCCAATACCTAAAAATGATTTTAAAATAACAGTTAGAAAATTAAATATATACTTTCGTAACCATATTTTTGTTAGAGCAATCATCGAAAAATTATAAGCAAATTATTTGTATAAAACTTAAATTTGTTTACTTAACAATTTGAATTTAAACAAATAATAATTATATATCCATATCAATCATATAACACTATAAATTCCTATTGTTATTAAGACAGTACTATTGCTAACATTATTATTACGAGTGGAAGAACATTTAATTTTAATAAAACAAAGAAAGCGAAAATTATATGCTAAAACTGAATTAACTACTTGACTTTGAAATATATAGCAATTATCATTAACTTATTAACAAAATTATTACTACCAGTAACTGCAGACGAGAAAACCCGGGATTAATTTCAATCCTGCATAAGAATCTTCGAAGATATACCAAACTAGACTTCACGAATGAACTTCACGAAAAAACGATGAGGAATAATTCTCCATGATGAAAATGATTTCGACTTTCCATCGATACAAATCACGTAATCACTGTCATTCATCTGACGTGAGAGACAGCGATATAAGGCCTTTGCATATAATAAATTGTTTACTAAAATATACTTGTAATTCTATAATGTTAAAAATGTAAATATCAAAAAGCAAGTAAGAGTTAATATTTAACCATTGCCTCAGTCAAAACTCCAATCTTTATGACTTATTTAATAAATTTATACTAAGTACAAAGAAAAAATGACGATTATTCTAAACATCAAATTTTTAATAAGAAGTTACTTAAAATTATTAATGACTTTTTGATATACGGAACAAAATCTAAATAAAAAAAAATGTTTAATTAAATATTTATTAAAGTTATTAAATCACTAAACAATTTTTGTTGTTATAAGTTTCGTCGATTTCGTATAATTTACATGAATTACGATTACGCAACAATTTAGTTTATTACAAGATAAATGCTATTTGTATTGAATAGATATATATGCATATATATATTTCAGTAAATGTATAATTAATTAGTAACCCGGGAAAAAATGTTTCATATATATGTATATATATTAATTATATAAAATTAATAATTATACAAGATTATATAAAAAATTGACATATTTTATATACAATTAGATATCATTATATATAAAATATGTCCATACAACATTTTTGCCCAGGAATCGTTGTGCAAATTACAAAAGTATGATTATAGCATTCATCTGGACATAGTTTACATAAATTGTGTATTACGTACCTAATATTTTTATACATTTATTTACGATAAAGTTAATTACGATAATAACGCGTTACATAATTTGAACGTGTATAGAATTTTACAAAAAAATTTAAGGGTGGCTGAAAATTTAATAATATTTGAAATTAATTTGACTTATTTCCATATTTGATAATTGGAATAAGATGCTGATAATTAAATAAAACTTAATTAAAAATTTTATTCAATTTTTAATCCTTTATTTCCAATTATCAAGTATATACATATGACGTCTTCAGTCCTACCTGTCTAATACTTATTATTCTACCTATACAGTCCCTACCTACCATTCATACTTATTACCGTCCTACATACCCGTACTCTCATTCGTGCCTATTCGCGGATACCTATCTCTACCCGTGTATTCCTTCCTACTTCATAAATGTGCAATAACATCGCGAATATAATACGTCAATGGCTACGTTCAGAGAAAGTAGCTTTTCGATTGTTTTCAAATTCTTCAATACGATTGGTTCTTACTTTTGTCTCCTTATGGATCTAAATGTACAAATCAATCACATAGAACAATTATACAACAGTTGCAAAGCTGCTTTCTCTGCTGAACGCAGCCAA